GAAATTTTAATTTTTTTTTTTTAGCGATCTGTCACTTTAAATAGTGATGGATCGCTTTTTTTTTTAGCGATCCGTCATTTTAAATAGTGACAGATCGTTTTAAATAGCGACAGATTGCTTTAAATAGCGACAGATCGCTTTAAATAGTGACAGATCGCTTTAAATAGTGACAGATCACTTTTTTTTTTAAAAAAATAATTTTGTGGCTTTTAAATAAAGCCACGAAATTTTAAAAATTTCAATAAAGTCATATTTTAGATTACAGATGTTGAAAATAATTTGAGATATTAAAAATAATATAGAATGTCAAAAATAATATGAAATGTCAAAAATAATTTGGGATATCAAAAATAATTTGGATTTGGGATTTGGAATTGGAATTTGGAATTTGGGATTTAAGCTTTGAAAAAATAATTTGAGTGGCAAGTATAGAGAGAATGTATATATAGTAATATAGAATAACAGAAGTTCTTTTTTGATTGGTTACCATAGGATATCACATTGTTATGGTATAAAATATAACATTATTAAAATATTCAATAATTAGTAGTATTAATATATTATAACAGAGGTTGAACAATTATTTAATCTAATAGTTATTAATATTTTAAACATATTAATTTAATCATATGTAAAATAGATAATATGAATTAGCATTACTTAACATTTATTATTATTAATTATTTATATTTAATAACATTTATTATATTAATATTATTAGTATTATATTATTTATAGTTATTAGCAAATAGTATTTTGTAGCATAGTAGTTAAATTAGTATAAATATATCTCTTATCTCAAATAGTTTAGTAATTTTATATTTTTTTTAATTTTATTTTTATAACTTTAATTAATTGTAATTTTTAAAAGATGAAATGTAATTATTTACATAAGTATATATATGTAAATTCTTATAGTAAAAGTGAAATAATAAATATTATTATTCAAGTTAATAAATGATAACTTATTGAATATAATAAAGTAAAAGTGAAGATATCAAATGGAAGTTATATAATTAATTAAATAATTAATTATATTTGTTCTGTTCTAATAATTATTAAGGAAGTTTAAGGATAAAGTATTTATTTAATACTAAAGATAATAAATAAAAGTTATGAAGATATATTATTTAAAAACAATAGGATGAGATTATAAAAAAAAATAAATAAATTATTTAAAGATAATAAGATGAATTTATAAAGATAAATAAATAAGAATGTTATAATAAAATTATGAATATATATTATTAATGAAGATAGAAAATTAAGAGATATAATATTAAAATGAATGTATGAGGATTAAAGTGAATGAATATTAGTTTGTTAGTTCTATCTAAAAACTAACTAGTGCCTTTTAAAATTTAAGGAATAATCAAACTGAAAGTTTTGTACTTATGGGAAAGAACTATAGATTTCTTAAAAGAACTGTTAAATGGATATTAACAATAATACCTATAACAATGTTAATAATTTTTATATAATTTTATTGGACAACAATATTTATAATTATTTTATTATATAATATAAAATATGTTTTATATATATTATATATCTAAGTGAAATAAATTACCACAGTTCAAAGAACACTTTGTTTTATGTATTATCTATAACATATTTACTTTTAATATGAACTTTCATTATACTAATAGAAATACAATAGATTTGAAATAGAAATTAATCATAGTAAATTGATAATAATAATAAAATTATAATAATAAATATATTTTTGTTTAAAGTTTATATTCTTTTTTGAATATGATATTTGAAGTTGAAAAAAAGTGTCAATATATTTAATAAAAAATAAATAAAAATAAATAAAAATAATAAAATATAAAAATTTATTATTTTAATAGATCTACATCAGAAAATTTTTAGAGACAAATATATTTAAATATATTTGTCCACTCATATATTTATTCACATAAATTTATATTTATTCACATTAATTTATACAGTATATTATACTAAATATATCTGCATATATTTACAAGTGAAATTTTCCTGATGTAATTACATATTATTTTGAAAATTCATCTTTAAGATATTTCACTTTGAATGATGCTGTTGATACCATTTCATAATATGTTAGATCTAGTAATAATTTCAAAGCATATAGTTTCTAATACTTATGGAGTAACTACATAAAATTTTGTGTAACATGATCGTCAATAGGAAATTTCAGTAACATATTTTAACGTGATATCCCGTGATAATCAATCAAAATGAGCGCGTTTCTCAAAATTAATTTTCTCAATTAAATACAGTTATCTTCTAAAAAATGCGTGTTAGTCGTTCTAGTCGTAATACTCGTGATTCGATAGGCAGCGTTTCTGCACCGTTTAATGAAGGAAAAGAATTTGATAGTTTGTATAGAGAATTTAACGAAATGTTACATTTTGTTGTAAGAGGTATTACTTTTGCGACTGAAACGGCAGCAGATCTTGAAGAAGCTAATGAAAAAGAGGAGGTAATTTACTATTTTCTAATAATGCGTTTTTTTTAATAATTAATATTGTTTTTAGAAAATTTCTATATAGTTTTGTCATTAAACAAAGGGCTGACATATGAATGATATATAGGTCGCAAATCTCGAGGGTATAGTAAGAAAATACGTTGATATGGAAAATAATCTCAATATTCAAAGAGAAGCAATTGATGAACTAAGAACAAGAATGAATGCTGGAAATAAAGTCGTAAGAAAATAAGTTTTGAGAAGATAATTTCAATTCAATTATTAATTTCATATAATAATAATAATAATAATATAGGATCTTGTAGAAACTTTCGAATCATTACATGAATCGTCATTCCAAGAGTATGAAAATTCAACAGAAAATGAAAAATATTTTCAAAATGAATATTATATTGAATTTCGACAAAAAATTTGGGTAAGTTTTTGAAGGCGTTTCTTGATCATTTATTGGAAATAAAAACGTGTGATAAGTAAAAAAAAATGCGATTAATTCTGATGAAAAAGGAAGTAAATCATCCAGATGAAGCGATGCCAACTTTGGACGGAAATGATGATGATGATATTGTAATGGGACAACAAAAAGAATCACTATTTTGTCCAATTACAACATTACTATTTGAGGAACCAGTTACAGGGTATAGATTTAATTATATTATATTATATTTAATTATGTTATATTATATTATATTCAATTATATTTAATTATATTATATTTAATTATATTATCATTAATTAATTAATTAATTAATTAATAATAATATATATAGCAAAGTGTGTAAACATACTTACTCTAAAGATGCAATTTTACAATTGATAAGGCGAAATAGAAATGCAGTCGTGTGTCCGGTGGCAGGTAAATGGGTTTTAAAATTTAATAAAATAATCTCTTTTTTTTTTTGTAATATTCTTTGTAACATTCTTAATCGTTTTTAATTAAGGTTGTGATAAACATATCATGGAACATGATCTTTTACCAAACAAAAGGATTGAACGAAAAGTTGCTCGATATCGAGTGACAGGAAATGATTTGATGGATGATGTTGAGGTATTTTATAAAATGTGACATTTATTTTTTTTTTTATTTTAAAATATTGACTTTATTATTATTTCCTTTTTATTTATTTTTAGTACACGAGTATTGAATGAATCTAATAATCATTCTAATGATTATTTTAATAATTGTACAAGAATTTACTTAAATATATCATAATTATATTAGATTAATAAATAAAATGTAATAATTTCAGGATTAAAAATATCAAGTTAAAAATACAATTCGAAAATTGTTAAAATTTTGTACCTAACTCTTGGTGACGCCTTCAGATAATTCTTTATTATTATTATGTTTAATTACGTCTTCACCGTTTTCATTATTCAATAATAATATTTGTTTGTTGAGTTTTTCCCTAATACGCAGATTAATTATATTGATCGTATTAATCATATTACACCTAATTCACCTAATTCTATTAGTTATTTTTTATTAAATCTTTATTATTATTACCGTTTAAGTCTTTCGAATTCAGGAACAAGTGCATAAACTGAAATTCCTATCCCTACTAGTGACCCTATTATAATTGATTTGTTCCTTTGAAAAAAACTATTCATTTTTTCAATGGAATGGAATAAATTTAATTATGTATAATTTATTTTTGAGTAATCATAACCTGATAACGTATTGATTGTTTGAAAAAATAATGCATTAAAATTTTAGGTTAACTTTGAAAGATATTTATTTTGGAAAATAAAATAACATTTAAAAAAAATAAAAAAAAAACACTGTCAAGATCTTTTAATCTTGAGTGTCAAAATTTTGATTACACGTAACTATTTTTTTTTGCGACGGCAATCTTGGTCATGTGATTATTTATTTATATAGTTATCATGTGCTATGAAATTTATTCCATTTTTGCAATTTGATTTTTAAGTCAAAACATTTCCTATTTTTTGATCCACTGTAGCAGGAATTGGGTTTGGATTTGGAGTTGGGGCGAAGCTGAAGGCATATTTTGCTGAATTAAAAATAATAAAATTGCGGGGATAGTGTACATCGTATTGTATAAAGTATCTCCATTGTTAAGAACCCCTAAATATATAATTCGCAGATCGCAATAAAAAAAATATCATTTTTCTTCCGGAATAAATTTTGTGGTAGATGATTGATTTTTTTTATTTGTTTATGTGATTGCTTTGTACGCTTGCTTTAAATCAAGGCAATAGTTTATTCCAATTACTAGATTTACTGCAACGATGATCGTATTACTGTATTCTTTTATTTTCAAAACATAAGGTAAAAATGGAGTTATGTTTTTTTTTTTTTTGTAGAGAGCAAAAACACATTAAGTTATTATCAACTTATAACTTATTTATACTAAGAATTATCTCCCTTTTTGAACCAAGAACAAGGGAAAATCCATCAATGATAATTGATTAGTTATTTTTAGCTATAGTTGTTGATCAATTCAATCCTTCTGATAAAAAAAAAAAAAATTCACAATGAACATATCAAAGTAAAATTTTACTTTGTTTAGAAATCCCAATTCATATTATTAGTTTCCAATGAATAATGAATATAAACTTTGGGTATTATAAAAAGTGGTCAATACTTGGAATGAATGAATAAAGGAAGTTACATATTACGGAACAGCACCTTTAAAGTATAAAAGTATTTTCTAAATTTTTATTGTTCGTAAAATGAAAATTCTCAATATTTATTAAAAAAATTTATTATAGGAAAAAGTTTTTCTAAAAAAAAAAATATCTTTAAAAATAAAATAATATGCAACCTTTTTTTTTATTGAAATCGAAATCTACCGGGAAATTTTTTAGAAAAAAAAATTAAAATTTATTCAAAATAATTATTTATCACTTGAATATAATCAAAAGAATTAAAAAATAGCTGATGAAATATAACTTACATTATTAATTCTTGAAATTTTTATAAGTTTCTTTACATGGAGGAAAATAAAACGGTTAACTACAGAAATCTCTGCAGAAATCAAAAAAAAATATTTTCAATAATTCAAAACCAAATTTTATAGTTTCAAAAATAAAATAAAAAAAAAAATTGCCTATATTGAAAAAATGTGACAATTTACTAAGATATAATATCGATTTTCATCATGTTCCAATAGATATACGATGCACTCAAGCTTTTCCTAGAAACGTGTAACTGGTCAGTAATTTGGGAAAGAGAAAGTGAGAGGTCGATGGATTTCAAACATGAATATGTAAATCAAGTAAGAAATGAAAAAAAAAAAAAAAAAAGAGAAAAAAAAAAAAGAAAATCGGGTAAGGATGTTAATTAAAATTTGTTTAATTAATGTCGACTGTGACTTCTACTCCTACTACGACTTCTGCTCCTTCTACGACTTCTAGAACGACTTCTTGGTGAATAACTTCTACTACGACTTCTTGAATAAGGAGATCTAGATCTACTTCGTGAACTATATGAATCACTATATGAATAAGACCTTCTACGACGAATAGGTGTTCTAGATCGTGACCTTGGGTGACGGCGTAACGATCTACCGCGAGCACGGTAACTACTTGCTCCAAAACGACGAATAGGAGGAGGAGGTGGTGGTGGTGTATTATATCTTCCCCCTAATAATAATGATAATTTGCCCCAAAATAATTCCATATAATTTCAATGCAAATTATAATAAAATAATGATAGGAATTTTATATAATATAAATGCCTACATCTAAAAATCTAAAAATCTAAAACATCTAAAATATCTAAAATATCTAAAATATCTAAAATATCTAAAATATCTAAAATATCTAAAATATCTAAAATAAGCTTTTTGATTCATTACCTCTACGTCTAGGTTGTAATGGTGAAAGTGGTCGACGAGGAACAAAAGCACATGAGAGAACATTACCATCAACTTGACCCTATTCAATTATAATAATAATAATACCTTTTGATTTAGATATTATGAAAATATATATATATATATATATATATATATATATAAAATCAAAATCACTATATTATAAAAACTTACTCCGTTCATGTAGCTAATGGCTCTTTCTGCTTCAGGTCTGGTATCAAAATCTATATAAGCTATACCTCTATTGGTTTGCCCTAGATAATTAACAAAATTATAAAATTAAATGTTAAAAATTATTATAATAAATAAATAAAAAAAAAAAAAAAAAGTGGTACATTCACGTAAATTTACTTTAAGGTACAAACATTTTTCATCAATCGCCATTTCAAGATTCTTGATTCGCCCAAAGGCTCCAAATATTTCTTGTAAATGTGCGTCAGTAACATTTTTAGTTAACTTGTTGACCATAATTTTCGTAGGAAGTGGTGAAAGAGATCTTCTTCTACGGGAGTAAGGTAAAGAACGAGATCGACTTCGTGAATATGACAATGAACGAGATCGACTTCTAGTATAAGAACGAGATCGAGTCCTACTGTAAGAACGAGATCTACTTCGACTATAAGAAAGACTCCCAGTGGAATATGAATAGGAACTACGACTCCTAGAACGTGAATTTGTTATTGAGGGAGAGTGACTACGCGAGCGACTCCTCGATCGGGAGTGACTCCCTGAACGTGATACTGTTCTAACCCTGTTTAAATTGACAAAATTTTTTTGATGTTTTGAAAAAAAAACCTTTGTTCAAAAAAAAAAAAAGACGTATTCCAATTTGATTCATTTTTTTTTTTTTAATAAACTTTTTACATACATTGAATTGATTAAGTTGGTAGAATAAAAAAATTATCGTTCTCCTCAAGATCTAGTCATAATTATTTTGTGTAACTGTTTATTGTTTGTACGATGGAGATATATATATATATGGAAACATCATCATATAACATCTTCAATTGTTAATAATTTTGATGAGAAATTGAATAATCAAGCAATATAGTATAGTAATGACTTTGCCTGGTGATTCTCTGTAAGTAATTATAATACTTTTATGCATGTTTTAAAAATTTAGGTTTGATTTTTTTTTTTTTTATATATATATTTTTTTCCTACGTTCTTTCTATAACATTTTGTAGTCAAAAAGAACTTGTGGAAGCTACTCAAGGTATGAAAATAAATTATGATATTTTTCTCAAAAACGATAAAAAAAAATTTTTTCATTTAATAAATTATCTAAATAAATAAATAAATATATATATATTTTATAGCCTTATCAAAGTTTGATATTAGCGAGGTAACATCACAAAATAATGCGGAAATACAAGATTTACATTTGGAACCTCAATTTAAAGATATTACTGCATTTTTAGATGAGGTTACGGATGGTACTGTTTAGATCTTAATTGCTTTCAATATTAATTGAATTTTGATTTAATTCTTACCAATAATTATGATTTGAATATTATTGATTTATCTATATTTGCAAAAGAATAGAATTTCAAATTGGTCAACTTGTTCATCTTGAATCATTTGGTCTTTATGATGCGATGAGTTCGATTGAGGTAAAATTTTATTATATTATTATGAATGGTTTATTATTTTTTATTTTTTTTTTTACATGTAAATCAAATTAATCCAAATTAATCAAATTAATCCAAATTAATCCAAATTAATCAAATTAATATTTTTTAATTTGATGTTTAGATTATGGATCCCAAAATGGATAGTGGAATGATTTTAGATAGTGATTTAAATAAAAGACCATTTGATATAAAAACCCTTATAAGACCTGAACAAGTTCTTTGGGTTATGGATCGATTATTTATATGTGAGGTATGAATAGATTTTCATGATTCTTATGCCTCCCCAAAAAAGATCAAGATTTCAAAATAAAATTATTATTATTGTCAATTTAGATGTCATGGCATTCTGGACATTCCCTCTCACAGACATTATTTACTTGCATGTACCTTCTTCGTGCAATGGAACTTGAACCTGAATTATTTTCAAACAATTCTAGTGATGACATTAACCAAAATTCAATTCCTATCGAATTTGTTATATTAATTCTAAAATCGTATGTTTTGGGTATTGCAAAATGTTGTCAATTGGTTTGGGATGAAATGACAAAAGGACATGTATATGAAGTAGGAATTGATTTATTAATTTATTTATTATTTTCATTATTGACAAAATTAAAAAATTTATAAATTATGAGTTTATAATAAATTATGTTTGGTAGGAAGAAGATTTTGCGACAAATAAATATGGTATCTCAATATATGAAGATTTTCCCAACTCCCAAGCACTAAAATTACTAGATGATGCAGAAACCTGGTTGGTTCAGCATGGTAGTAATTGGATTCGACAGACCGGTATTCATTAGATTCATTGGATTTTTTATACTTTTATATTTTTTTTCCTATTATTTTACTCTTATTATATTTAATGGGAATTATTTAATAATAATAATAATAATAATAATAATAATAATAATAATAATAATAATAAAGGAATGGATAAGAGTGAAGATATTATACGAGCTTTACAATCTCGACTTCTTTTACGAAAAGTGAGTTTACATCATTTATTATAATTAAAAAGTAAAAAATCTCTTGAAATTATTATTTAATGTAATTCACGTTTTTTAGTCTTTCCTTTTAGCTCTCATGCATATGGCTCAACCGATTAATCAACAATATTCTCAAGCTCAACATCATCTTCCTATATGTTTACAATTGTTAAATGATTCAAAGGGTGATGGTATTTGCGTTAGTAATACAATAGATTTGGGAGTTGAAGTTGAAGGAGGTATTCAAAGTGTTTTTTTTTTTTTTTTGATATGTGAAAATATATTCATGACATATTTTAATTGCATATTTTAGTGATATATTTTAGTGACATATTTTAGTGACATATTTTAGTGACATTTTATGACATTTTCTGATGTATTATATTTTCTGTTGTATCGTTGAGTTTAGCTTTTGATCCCTTAATTAATCGCAAACTCGTTTCCCAAACTCCTCCACGACCAATCCGGCTTTTATCTATGCAGGAGGTAAATATTGAATATATATAGATTTATATTATATTGATACATTTATATCATTTATATATCATATATATTAGGCTATCGATGAACTGAAAAACATGCTTAAAAATCTCATTGAAATATGTAACATCATTGATTATAAATCTGCGACTAGTTTAACGGTAAAGTCTTATATTTAATAAGTCTCACGTGTTTCATGTATATTCACGTTTAAAACTTCTTCTATTTAGAATTTTATGATATATTATTCAGCAAAGCAATCAATACCGTGTGCATTTTCAAGATCATTTTTACAAGTGCGTAAAGATCTTCAACATTTGATACATAATATATCTCTATAGATATATATAGATATATATATAGATATAGAGATATATATATATATATAATATATATGTATATATATATATTGTTGTTGTCACCATCATATTTGAACAACTGTCTCTCAATTTATATTAGTCGACTGTTTATTCAGAAAATCGTATTCTTGGAAAATTATCGGTATACCAATTGATAAAAGATTCCGTCACAGAATTGACAAATCCACCGTATATCTATTTTGCATCCAAAACAGACATTGGAACATCTTTCAATGGTTCACATATTGATATAGATACAGCGAAAATTTCGAAATTAATACATACATTCGTCGATAACGCAGTGAAGGTATTAAAATAAATGTATGTTGTTTTTTTCAAATTATTTATAATTTGTAAAACTTATTTCTCACTATTTTTAAAAAAAAAAAATTTCTTTGAAAAATTCTAATAAAGCCGTTGACAGATTATTTTCGAATTTTATGTCATAATCGTTCGAGACAACAACGAAATATGTGTAAAGTTCTGAGTGATTGGGATTTATTACAAGATGAAGTATGTAAATTTTTCATATTTATTAATATTTATTAAAGATTATTGTTAAAAATAATAGTTATTTTTTTTTTTTACATTCACACAAATATATATTTACATTTATTAGGCCGAACATATCGATACTGAATTACAGTCAATAATTAAGGAAGAACCATTACCATCTGAGGTAAAAAAATATTTTAAAATATTTTAAAATTTAATTTTCAATTATTTAATTTTTTTATTGAGGTGAATGATAATCAGTATCTTCTTAGGAAGGGCCATCATATGCTTTTCATCTTTCTTCATGGGTTTATCATCGTAAATTAATATTATTGGAAGATATTTTATTTCTCGGTTTTGAGTTGGGTTTATTTGGAGATCATGAATTTGTAATGATTTACTGGTGAGAGATTTCAATGATTTTATCTTGATACATTCACATGAATCAAATATAACAAATATGATCATAAAAATAATTTTAAAGATTGTAACCAACATAATATATATATAATATATATATATATATATATACATATATACAAGATGTTTGATTCTTTATTTGGTTTTTGATTTTATTTTGTAAAAGGTATTTAGATTATATATTGGGTGTTCATTATCAACACCTAGAAAGGACTCATATGCATGTAACCGGTAAGAACGTAGAACATTACGATTTTTTTTTTTTCATTTTAATAATAAATTAATAAAATTCATTATTTTTCATTTTTTTTTGATAGATCATCGAAAATTTAAAAAACAACAAAATTATTTTCAGTTCGAGTCATCACTTCAATCATCAGCTGTTTCATTAATAGTTAGTCAACAAGTGTTGACTATGGCGAGACAAGATATCTGTCGTGGAATTCATAGGGTATTCGTTTGTTCGGATTTTTCGGCAAAGAATTGAAATATTTCTCCTATTTTAATTTATTTTTTCTTTTCTATAGACTATAATAGCACTTCAGAAAACTGGAAATTACACTCCACCAAAACTAGAGTTCGATGACGAAAGCATTCGTTTTTGGCATAGATTTCGAATGTATCGTTCTTTAGGAAGTCCAACAATATTGTCTTTCCAAGATTTTAAGGATATAACCCGTCTAGATAATATTACGGTATATATTATTACGCACACATTTTATTGTATATTTATTTATGTGTAATTCATATTCTAATAAATTTCATTTAAATTTTTAAATCTATTTCATTTTATTTAGGCACTCGAGCTCCTAAGTTTTTCTCTTAAGAATTTTCAATCCGCTAGGTCTTCGATAGAAAATTTGTTAGCGATAAAGCCTTCCGAATCTAGAATGGATTTTTGTCACACCGAATTCACAAAAGTATTTGAATTTTGAATAATTATTTTATTATTATTATTGTTATAAATTATAATAATGATTATAATTAAGTTAATAAATATTTGACATTAAAGGACCTACAGGCAATGTTGCGCGTATGTATTGCCAATATTATTAGTTTACATAAGATTCTTGAGGAATTCGATCAGAAACCTATTACAATGGAAAAAATTGAAAACGAAAAAACTAAGAAATCACGAAACAAAAAAGGAAACAAAAACAAGCGAAAGCAGAAGCCCCCTCAGAAACCTCCTCAAAACCAAAAACCAATGATAACACCCCCAGAAAATAAATTGGTGAATAGAGTAGCTAATTTTGAATTTAAATATCATCCATGGTTTCCTGTGATCACTTTGAAATAGTGAATAGTGATTATAGAATAAAAAAAAAAATTGAAATTTATTTATTATAAAAAATAATGTTTTTATATATAATTTAATATTAATTTTTTTTTTGAATGATTTCTCTATCAGATATTATAGAATATTAAAATTAATTTCTATTATTGTCCCAATAAATAATAAGAAAACAAGGATATTATTGCTACACAAATCCACACATTTAATATATATTTTTTTTTACTTCTGAATCGTCGCCAATGATTTGGTCGATTAATATTATTATTATTATTAATTACACGTCGATCATGAATTTCGTAAGGACTATCCTCAGTAAGATCATCATCTTCTTCTTCTTCATCATCATCAATAAGATTATCTTCATCCTCCTCATCATCTAAACGATTAAATATTCTTTTATATCCAAATCTTTCATAAAGTTTAATGGGCCATTTACGTGTTGACATATTCCAAGTACAAAAATAATCCAAATTTAAAAGATATTCTTCTATCATTTTCAAAGACTTTGTACTATTATTAAGTAATTCACCACCAAAACAAAGTCTAACTATTTCTGGTGAATGTTTAATTAATTGTCTAATAACTGAATCGGTGATATAACTTGATTCAATTGCGAATAAATTATTTTTACATGTAAAAATTAAATTCAGAATTTCTCGTTCAGTTTTATTTCGGAAAGGTAGATGATTTAATGAATTATTTGTATGTTTTAACCTTTACAAATTTTTATTATAAATTTTCAAACCAATTATGGAAGAATTCGACAAGAATTCGATTGGAAATAATTTAAATAAAAATTATAAAATTGATAGATAAATTTTTTATAAACACACAACACAAAAATAAATAAATAAATATATATATATATATATAATATATAATGAATAATAATGAATGAAAAAAAAATTCTACTCACCAAAGAGGCCGAGATTTATAATTCTCGGCAATCAATGGCAAAATTTGACAAGTAAAATACGAACCAAGTCCGGATATATCTAATCTTTCCAATTTAGGAGTTCCACTCAACATTCTCTTCCAACCTGTACAAGTGAACCACCTTGTGAGAGCAACATCACAGTTTGAAATGAACGCGAGAGAAGTTAAATTAGAAAGTGTACATAAATCATTCAAAATAGAATCAGTAATCTCTATATTATCATCATTATATATTCTTTCTAAAATTAATTCCTGCAAAAGATTACAAGTATCTATTAACTGTGAAATCCATATATTAGAAAGTCCTTCGAATGATAAATGTGCTCGTGTTATTTGCGAACCATATAATTCAGAATAATGATTAAGCGACCATACTGATTGAATTACTGCATGAATCGAAAAATTTGAATATTCAATTTTAGAAGTATCTAATGAATTATTATTATTATTATTATTATTATTATTATTATTATTATTATTATTATTATTATTATTATTATTATTATTTACATTCTGAGAAAAACGTTCAATTGGTGGGAAATAAATCGGTGCCAGATATGTAATTAATGGTGTAGAACATGTAAACCTTAAGAATTTTAACTTTTTTCTATACAGTTTTTGAGTGAAATTAGGTGGATTCAATTCTAATATTCCAGGTGTTTGTTCATATACTATAATATTAAAAACCTCGAGACGATCACAATGAGTATCTAAAATTTTCAACAGATCAGCAAGTCGGTTGATAAATTCTTGTGAAATTTGTCCTTGAAGAGTCAAACTCTTAAAGTATTGCCCATACTTAAGAACAATTGTGCGTAAAAAAAATAGAGAAATGTTATAACCTATTACAGATTTAAACCTGTATGGGGAAATTAAAGTACAAAGAAAACGGTTAGTAAGTGAAAGTTGTTTAAGGTGAATAATACCAAGGTAGGAAGTAATTTGAAGGAGTGTTTCAGTAGGAAGTATAAGGAGAGAAAGTCTTGGTGCCTTTTGATTTAACATATTGAAATGAAAAATTTTTATTTAACTGATAGTCGTGATAATAAATGAAACATGTATACAAAATTGACAAAATTAGCATAGTAGCATAGGGCTAGTTTGTTTTTATTGGATGATAATCAATAGTAACGTGACTGGTCAAATAATATTTAAACGAATAGAAATCTTAGATTCAGATCA